CAACAACTTTCGATTTGTTTTTTAAAATGTAGACACATGTCATCCGAGTGTGGTCATAAATCATATTTATGAATATCTTTCATTCGTGTAGCTGGGAGTACGAGAAGGTCCCCATAGATCACTATAAATGAGGGAGAAAGGAGCGGAATGAGTGTAAGTGTGGGATGGGTAATGAACTCGATGATGTTTGGTCAACTGACATGGCTTGCAATTGAAATTAAAAGAGTTTTTATTAACAAACATCAAATGATATAATTTTTTTTTTAATATTGAAAATTAAGATGACATAAACGATAATGCAATAACATAATGAAACATTCAATGACTCGAGATAAGCTACAACTCTTGAGAGGTGTGTCTGTATTTTCCGTGCTCTGCTCTTGAAAATAGTAGAGTCCAGCTATCCTCTTGGCAGTTTCAATCATCATCCATGAACGACGATCCTGAAAAAGACAACCATCAGAAGAGAAGTTAGCTATACAATCAACATCATTCATCAACTTGCTGACTGGTAACAAGTTATATTGCAACTGGAGAACATGTAAAACAGATTGCAGAGTTAGAACATGTACAATCAACCATTTATCAGTAATGAAACTACAAGAACCATCGATAATTATGACTTTATTTTTTCTAGAGCAATGGATATTAGGTCGAGAAAGCTTGTGACCATCCAATCATGTGATTCGTGGCTCCTGAATCAATAGTCCACGGACTAGAGGTGGAATAAACTGTGAGGGCCATAGGAAGAGTACATTGTCGGATTTGGCAGGTCGATGGACACTTTACCCTGAGGTCCCCAAGAAGTTTGATCAAGTGTTCCATCTGGTTTTTTTTTTAATCCAGAGGATTCCGGGATGTTCAGGGTAGGATTCGGTTGAGACATTATGTTGGCTGATGGATGTAATGAAGGAGATTTGAAGGAGTCGGTTGGATATGGGGTAATCCGTAGGAAATTTGCAGGAAATCCGGGTGCCGGACTGCAGAAAATCTAAAATCCGGATTATTGGACAACCAGAAAGTTGGCCTGCTGCAGGAAACAGAGGCCAAACCAAGCGGGAGGGATCAGCAGGGAAGGCCGGCGGCTCCTGTAGAAAACACCGGCAGCTGGATTAGAGGGGAGCGACAGCTGCACAGGGACCAGCAGAATCAACGGCAGAAGCTGGGTTATTACAGCAGAGACAAGCAGGAAAAAATGCTGAAGATGGAGTCTGCCGGTGGCAGAATTTCTGGACAGCAGAATAGGCCCCTTCTGGATGGCCAGGCGGCAAGGATAGGATAAAAACACAGCAGAACTCTGCAGGGAAATATTCTCTCTGCAGCTTGGCTGGATAAACGTCAGAATTCTGCAGCTAGTCAAGGAGACAACAGCAGAATTCTGCAGCTAGACCGGCTGGATAATCTCACGGGAGACGGCTACAGTAGGAGAATTCCGGCTGACAGCAGAATTCCTCTCAAGTGACTTTAGCAAGGATAATCTTTCGGCTGGATAATCCCGACTGACATCAGAATTTCTCTTAGAAGAATGCAACAGAATAATTTTATGGGAGACGGCTACTCGGGATGGAGACTGCTCTCATGAGACAGCTATGCTGGATGGGAGAAGTAATTAGCGGGAGAAATAGCTCTAACGGGGAAAACAGAAGGAATAGCCGACAGATAAGGTTAGAATATTGATTTTGATATCATGTTGAGATTTGAAATAGAGCATCTCAATTTTATTGATAGAAGATGGGGGTATTTAACCAAATTATAATTAACACAACAAAGGAAAGAAATAGAACAAAATAAAATAAATAGGAAAGGAATAAAATAAAATGAAGCAAAAAAAAAAAAACATGATGAGGGAATTTAAATCTAATAGGCAAGAAATAATAAGTAATAACAGCTAGAGATTTGATTGTCGTTATAAAGTTAATAAAAATATCTTTCAATCTAAATATGTTTGGTTCTGTCATGATGCATAGGGCTCTTTGCAATACTAATTGCGGCTTGACTACCATAAAATATCTTTATGACATTGACTGTGGAGCATCTTAACTTATTTAGTAACATTTGGATTTAAATTCCTTGACAAATTCTCAAAGCAAGTGTTTGATTCTCAAATTATGCATTACTTATAGAGACCATTGCTTGCTTCTTGCTCCTCATGTGATAAGATTTCTCCCTATATAAGAACAATACCCAGATGTGGATCATCTGTCTGTGAGTTCTCCTGCCCAACTATTATCATTGTAAATTTCTGCCTTCATGTTGCCTAATTTTTTAAACAATAATCCTTTGTCAGCGCTCTTCCTAAGCAATCTCCATATTTTGTAAATCATTTGCGAATATTCTTCATTTAGACTATTCATATATTGACTCACAATACTGACAAAATAAACGATATCAGGTCTAGTGTGTGATAGGTATATAAGTTTTTAAACCAATTTTTGGTATTTATCTTTTTCACTAGTATCTTTTCTCCCCCTGAATGTTACATTTTGTTGAAATTCATGGAGTCTCAGCAGGTTTATACCCCAACATTCTTGTCTCTTTTAGTAGGTTTAGAACGTATTTTCTTTCGGATAGTGTGATCATCAATGAAAGAGACAAAATATCTAGCTCCATTTATGATTTTTAATTTTGATGATTCCCAAATATTACTATGGAACGTAGAAAAATTATGTGAGACAGATGATAAACATGACAAGTATGCTTAGCCATTTGACAGATTTTACATTGATAAAGCTCTGACTTTTTATTAATAAAGATTTTGGGGTACAACTTTTCAACATAATGAAAATTAGAATGATCCAAATGGTAATGCCATAATAAAACTTGATTATCAACAGATTTATACACAACAAACTCATGAATATGAGAAGAAGATGGTGGAGAAGACACTTGTGTGTTAAAAGATGGCTCTTCTTGAGCATGTATAGACCTTGATGCAATTCAACACTGTCAATCACTCTCCTCGAATCCACCATCTAAAATTCACAAGAGTTAGAATAGAATGTAGTAGCACAATTCAAGTCATGACTAAATGTGCTAATTGAAAATAAGTTGCAATCTTGTTGTGGAACATATAACACAGTAGAGAGATGAATATCCTTGAAAATTTCCACTTTTCATTCTCAACAATCTTGGAGTGAGATCCATCGACAAGTCTAGCAAATTTGGAGGTGGTGATCTCTTGGTAGTTGACGAGAGCATGAATATATTCAGTCATGTGATCAGAAGCACTTTAATCTATCATCCAATGTCGAGATCTTCCATTGCTCCAAGATAAGAGGATATGATACTTTGGTGTTCCATCAAGTTGGTAGACTGCTCGGCAGAGCATTTTGATACTTATCTGGAATTGGGATTAAACGTTTTCGGCAATGCCTTAATTTGCTCCTTATGAATAGTCTGAATTCTGAATTGTTGTTGGTTGTGACAACAACATTTGCATGGTTCTCTCCATCATAATTTTCATTCGATTGGTTTCAATTTGCATGTTTGTTATGTAATTTCCAACACTTTTCTTTCACATAACCAAGTTTCTTACAATAGTTACATCATGGACGTCCTTTCTTGGGCTTGTTATTCTGAGATAAGTTTTGACTTTTTAAGACTGATCCTTCAACAAATGGTGTGGTGTGGTTGTCTTTCATCTTCAAATTCTTTATGCTCTCCTCCCTTCAAACTTCTGCAAAAGCTTTCAAGATGGTAGGGATGGGTTTGATTCTCATAATTCTCCCCTTAACTTCATCAAGAACTTTATTAAGGCCAAGGAAGAATTTGATGGTCCTTTTTTGGTCAATAATTCTTCCGCACAAGGCAGAATTGTTAGGACATGTTCATGTGTGAACCTCATACATGTCTAATGGCAGCCAACAACAGGTCTTCATGGAGTTTTACAATTCTTTGGGGTAGGTGGTCGGGTTTGCACGAGATGTTCGTTGAGTTCTTCGGTTTGTTGTAGCTGGTCATTGTGTTGGCAATGAGACGAGGAGTATAGCCGAGGAAGCCGTCAAAGGAAGAACTCATAATTAAAACGACCTTGAAGATGAGCTGCAGCTGCGACCATGATAGGGAGTGAGAACACAAGAAAATTTTGGCGCTACGGATCTAATACCATGTAGAAACTAAAAATAATTTTATTCACCTTGTCTTAATGTGTGTGTGTGTGTGTGTGTGTGTGTGTGTGTGTGTGTATAACTAGGAAATATAAATAAAGGAAACACCATTATTAGAATATATTTTGAGATAATGAAATAAATTCTTTCATATTGCAGATTTCCTACAGGAAAAGAATTCCACATTTGGTGTAGCTTTTAGATGTTTTCTTTAATGACACTTTGTGGCTTCTTATGTGCAAGCTTGTCAAGTATAAATTATGCTTATTATTGGATCCCCTTGTCTTCATATTTCTAATCCTATAGTTAGGTTAATTTTTTGGTGCACCAACTTGGTCTTATAGCTCAGTTATTAGGTTAGATGAGCCCAGTGCTGGAAAGAACCTTTTGAATACATGCTTGTGCTGCATATCACCCAATTCCTACAATGCCCCTTGTCTTCATATTTTCATATCTAACAACTAAACATTACTTTTTATATTTATACCATCCAAATATTTCATATCACATAAAAATGCCTTCATTTTAACTTTTAAGAAGTGAAATTCACCTTTTTATGGGTAAGGTTGATTGTATGTAAAAAAAAAAAAAAGAAATTTAGGTGTTAAATAGCAAAATACATCGGAATTGAGTGGTGTGTATGCAAATCTTCTATTTATTTATGCTCTTGTTTTCCTAAGAAAATGTCAACCGGATAGTCTTTTCTAGCGAAAACTTCAGTAGAAGTTTGCTATAGCTTCATGAAAAGATGAAACATTTACCTTAATTCAAGTTGGCTTTTCAAATTTCTCTTCTAATTCCTACAATCACGTGACTACATCCTGAATTAATGTTAACTAGTTTTCTTTTTTCGTCTTTCATTTCCCTTTAAATTAGTTTTTTTCTGAAATTTAGGGTGATTTCCGTGCTTATCTAAAGCGGAAGGGAGCATTAAAGCCATCAACTGCAGTCAGATTTGCTCTTGACATTGCAAGGTTTAAACCATTATGACTCTCTCTACCTCTGTTCTATATTGATGAGTGAAGTAAGCTAACAAAATTTTTGTCTCTAGACATAATTGCTTGTTGATATTACAAAACCACTTTGTTTTTGAATTTATGTAATAAATATTCTAATAAACAATTTGCAGAGGAATGAATTACTTACATGAGCATAGACCCGAACCAATCATTCATCGAGATCTCGAACCTACGTGAGTTTTCTTCTATCTTTCATGTGTTTTCTTTCCATATCTCATAGATTCCATGTTGTTCCGATGTATGCGGAAACTGCTCTTATGTGGATTGTGTTTTATTGTTAAGATAACAGAAATATTCTGCTGGATGACTCTGGCCATCTCAAAGTTGCAGACTTTGGAGTTAGCAAGTTGCTGAATGCAGCCAATGGTGTTCGAGAGGAACGACATCGATCTTGTCGGGATACTTCCTGTAGGTTCTTCTCATTCATTATTTGAATTTGTTTTGTTCTGCTCTTGTTAATCTCATTGTTTAATTGGAAGATTTACATACATACCACTCAATTCTTATGTATTTACATATCTAACACCTAAACTTCAATTTTTATATATTTAGTTTGTTCTAATTTGTGTACTCATTAATGCTCTTGATATTATATCTGTTTCTGTTCTTGTCAATGTGCTGCTTCCATTAATCATCTGCAGCCCAATAAAGTATTGGTCTTTTACATACATACCACCTAACTCTTATATATTTACATATTTAACATCTAAACTTTACTCTTTACATTATACCACTCAATTTTCATATCAAATAAAAAAGATACCATTTTAACTTTTAAAATGTAAAATGCACCTTTTCATACATAGGTAAGGTAGCATGTATATAAAAATTGATGTTTTAGTGTTAGATTATGTAAATACTTAGGAATTGAGGGATATTTTTGTAAATCTTTCAAAAAGTATTATCCTCTCATCATTTTTCTTTCACTGTTTTTTCTTTAGTTATAATGCTTACATTTTTTAAGGACAAAAAAATGGTAGTTGCTTATTATATTTCTTTTTCTATAAGAAGGCAGGTATTCAGCTCCAGAAATTTTGCAGAATGAAGAGTATGGTACAGGGGTGGATGTGTTCTCATTTGCATTGATCTTACAAGAGGTAGATCATCTGAATAATTCCCCAAGCGCTTGTTTGGGATCATTTTTGTTTTTTACTCTTTATTTTAAAAATATATTTGTTTAGCGCGTATTTTTGCATTTTTTTATTTTTACTTTCAAAAACAAATTAGCTTATTTTTAAAATCACTCAAAACATCTAAAAGTTATTTTGAGTGTTTTTAAAAACAAATAGACATCTTATAACATATCAAATATATTTTATTTCAAGTAAAAATATAAACAAAAAGATAAAAATATAAATTAAAAACTAAAATCAAAGTTATCCCAAACGGCGCCCAAGTTTTCATAGCTTGATCTGTTTATTTCAACACATGTGTTTGCCCATCTTCTATTTGGGGTATAATTGCTGTGCACTTTTGTTGGTTGATAGTATTGTTGAATGTATTTTTGAAGCTTTGAGCTCTGTTACATCTTTTAATTTTACTACGGTAAAGCAAAATGCATCTGATTAACTTGATTCATGTTTTTTCCAATTTTAATATGAAGATATTCTAATTCTAGGAACATTTTAGTTAAGCCTAAAATTATATTTCTTTTCTATTAAAATGCATACTTCTCTACAGTAGTTCTTGAACACCTTTATGTTGTTGCACATATATGAGATGTGCAAAGAACTTGACTTCATTTTAACTTTTACTGAATTTTGAAGTAAACTTATAAAGAAAATTAAGTTTTGATATTTCGTATTGACCTACCTGAATTTCACGAAGTAGTGCAAAATTTCAGCCTGTTGTATATGAACTAAAGTTTTTCATGTAATTACATTTAGATGATTGAGGGGAGTCCACCACTATCTAATATTGAAGATAGAGAAGTACCCAATGCGTATATCGCTAAGGAGAGGCCGCCTTTCAACGCTTCTCTGAAGCTGTATCGTTATGGCCTGAAAGAGTAAAACTCTTCATAAGCTCCATTATTCTTTGCTTTGTAACTATATCTCACTTATGTAATATTTTTGCTCGTCTTAGTTTCCTTACATTTTAGTGGTTTCAAAAAAATCGACGATGCTCGTGAGCATTGAAAGATGATTTTAATATTTCCATTATATTTTCCAACAGGGATCCTCATTTTCCTTTCTCAAAATTCTCAATAAAATTTAGTCATTCATTTAGCTGTTTTTCTTCAGCATTTTCTCTTGATATTCACATATATGCCTTTATTTTCAAGTTTCAATCATATCTACATTGTTTGATATATTTGGATTTGTAGAAATTAAAGAACTTTCTTAGAGGAAAAAATTTTCATTTTCTTATTAAGCAAGTATCAAATATATATACAGCTCAAACTAATCCTCATACAATTGGAGGGAAAATCAAATCATCATAATGAAAAGGAAAGAAATAAAAATACAATATTGGATAATTAAGAGAGAACAATTTCTCCCCGTCAAATGTAATAACAAACCCACAGTTTCCTAAATCGTAGGTGGGCTCATGTGATCCTCGGTTATATGTATATCAGCACTTCCCCTCTCAAGTTGGGTTGTATGTGTCATATACCCCAAACTTGCTACTTAGATCATTAAAATGGTGCTTAAAATTTGAGGAAGGGCCCTGATAAAAATGTCAGCAATCTGATACTGAGTTGGGATTCAATTTAGCTGGACAACCCCTATTAACCTTCTTAAAGAGGAAGCGTCTCTCAATCTGTATATGTTTGGTTCGATCATGGTGTATCAGATTCATTGAAATATTGCTTTTGTTCTCCGTGTGAAGTTCCACTAATAACTTCTTTAGCCACATCCCTTCACAAATTTTTAGAGCCGGGGTACAATACTTAGATTTTTGCACTACTTTTTGCCACCACAACTTTTTGTTACTTCTCTAAGTAATCAGGTTATCAAATACAAATGAACAGTAACTCGTGATAGATCTTATTTCAGTTGGTTTTTTTGCCAGCTAGCATTAGTGTAGATCTCAATATCATAGTTCTCAATTTTCTTAAATATCAATCCATGTCGTAGAGTCAGCTTTTGGTACCTCAGAATTCAAAAGATCGCTTCAAAATGACCTTTATTTGGATCGTTCATATGTAGCCTTACCACACTCACAGAAAAAGCAATGTTGGGTCTTATATGTGACATCTAAGTAAAGTTTCTCCTGAGTCTTCAATACCTTCATTTTTCAACTGGAGTGTTATTCTCTCCTTTTGATGCTCGTCGATTGGGATCCATAGGAGTATAAGTTTGTTTGTATCCCAACATTCTTGTCTCCTTTAATCAGTCATGGATATATTTTCTCTGAGATTGGATAATGTCTTCTTTGGATTTAGCTACTTCCATTCTCAGGAAGTATCTTAAAGTTCCAATATCTTTGATTTCAAACTCAATAGCCATTAATTATTCTTTTGATTGTTTCAAGTTCCTTTAGATCATTGCCTGTAAGAATAGTTTCATTTACATACACAATAAGGATGACTATCATATTTTTTGGATTTCATTTCACAAGCAAAGTATGATCAACCTGACACTAATAATACCCATTGACAAAAATAGCCTTGATGAACTTTTCAAACCATGCTCTAGAAGATTGTTTCAATTCATTCAATGATTTAATTTGTTTGCATACTAGTTGATTATCTGTGTTCTGTAATCATGCAGCTATTTCCATATAGACTTCTTCCTCAAAAACTCATTAAGAATTACATTTTTAATGTCTAGATGATATAAAGGTTTGTTTTGATTGATAGCAAAAGACAATAATATTCTTACTGTGTTGAGTTTTGCCATTGATGCAAATATGTCCTAGCAGTCAATCCCATTGGACTAAGTGAACTTTTTTTTTTGCTACAAGTCTAGTCTTGAAACTTTTTATGTTTCCATCTACTTTGTATTTCTACTTTGTATTTGATATTGAATACCCATTTGCACTGTAAAACTCTTTTCCTTAGCGCCAGAGTTGTTATGATCTATGTACCATTCTTTTCAAGGGTAAAAATCTCTTCTTCCACGGCCTTTTTTCAAGCAGGAATCGATAAGGTCTCTTGAATTGAGTTTTGGACCTACACATTATCCAAATTTGAATAAAAGAATTTTAAGAGGATGGTAATTTTCAATAGTCACAAATTCTTCTATCAGGTATCTTGTGCATTCTTGTGCTCATTCTTCCTTTTGATGCTCATGATATGTTGATCTAACCTCTATGTGAATGTTTAGAGCTCGTGGAGTTGGTTCCAGTGATTTGTAATCTTGATTTGCATATTGATCCTTAAATGCTCATTAGGTATTTTCTTTCTGGTGTACACAAAGTTTTAGGTTCTTGGTGGGAGGTGTGAGAGAATTTAGGGGAGTAGTAGGTCCATTTTCAGGTTAATTTGTGATAGTGGGGATAAGTGCGGGCTCATCATTAATACAAGGGAAATCAGCTTGAGGTTCGTGAATGGTATCCCAAATCTGATATTCTCTTCAACTATCTCTCTCTGAATGTTAGATTTGGGATACTATGGTTGGTTTTCAAAAAAGTTGACATCCGTGGAGTTTTAAAATTTGTGTTTCTGAAAAGTAGGATTTATCCCCCCCTCTCTTCTTAAAAATAACCCACAAAGATGCATTTGATCAAGTTTGGTTTGATGTGGTTGATGTTGATAAACAAAAGCAATGCAACTACAAATTTTGAGTAGTTTAGATAAGAATAACTGAATATGGGGTAGGATTTTATGAGAGTGTTTGAGAGGTTTGTTAAAGTTTAGCACTCTGTTGGACATCATATTTATGAGATAAGTGAATGTGAGAATCACATCCCCTTAGAATTATTTGGGTGCATTGTTAGTAAATAGAATTATACGGGTCACTTCGAGATGTATGTTCTTTCTCAACTACACTATTTTGTTGGGGTGTGCCAACACAAGTTCTTATATGAATGATGTCATTATTAGATAGATAATGACCAATAGTGGAGTTGTAGTAGTCTTTTGTACTATAGGTTTTTAGAATTGGAATTTTGCTCTTGAAATTGGATGAAGATTATGATGTGGAAGGCTTCAAATTTGTCGACAGTTTTTCATATTTTTCTTTTCATGAGAAAAGTCCAAGTGGTCCTGGTGTGATCATCAATGAAGGTAACATACCATCTAGCCTCATTTGTATGTTTTATTTTTGAGGGCTCCTAGAAATCACTATGAACCATGGAGAAGGCATGTGTTGGTTTGTATTTCAAGCTTGGGTACACTTGACGAGTATATTTAATAAGTTGGCAAGTTTCACACCCATAAGAACTATTATTTTTATTGATAAACAAATGAGGATAAATTTTTTTAGTATAATAGAAATTAGGATGCTCTAGACGAAAATACCATAATATAACTTAACTTTATGAGAAAAAGACTCAGATACAAGACTTGGCTCAAAAGATTATGAATGGTGGGAAGATCTTTTGACGTCGGATTCCTAGTGAACAAATAAAGTCTATGATACATGTTAGCATTGTCAATCGCTTTCCCAGAGTCAATCACCTGAAATTCACACAGATTATGGTAGAATTTAGTAAAACAATTCATGTCACGACTAATTTTATTTTTAGAAAGTAAATTGCAGTTAAGTTTTAGAACATAAAACATAGAGTGAATAATAAGACTATTTGTGAGTTTAACACTTTCTCTTCCTTCCACAAATGAGAGGGAGCCATTTTCGTTTTTAACTGCATCATTGTGTTTGTAAGAATGAAAGGATTTAAAAGCTGTGATATCATCTATCCTGTGATCAGATGCTCTAGAGGCCATTATTCAATGCTGATTTTTTTTGTTGAGAGCAATAAGAACACAGAAAATTGTCCTGATGTGCTAGAAGGTTGATAGATGACTCAAAATATTGTCCCAGAAGTATTTGGGGAACTTCAAGATGTTGCTTGCTGAAATAACTATGTACATGAGGCTTATCTTCCTTTGATGTTGTGTTTGTTTCATTTTTCCTATCATTTTTGACTTTATTGGGCTTCCAATCTGCAAGTTTTTCATAAATTTTCCAATGTTTTTTCTTCATATGACCGAGTTTCACACCTAGTCCGTTTCTCGATTTATTGTGCTGTGATAATTTATTTGTGTATAAATCCAAGTTAATATTTTATATAGTGGGATTACCTGCCATCATGAGTTTCTTCCTATTCTCTTCCCTTCGCACTTTAGTAGAGGCTTCATAAATTGAGGGAAGAAGCTTGGTTCATGTGATTCTTCTTTTGACTTTATCTAGTTTCTTGTTGAGTCTTAGAGGGAACTTGATTGTTCTCTTATGTTCAACAATTATTTTGTAAAGAATTGAGTTTTGTGAGCACCTCCGTATGTATGCTTTATACACATCTTTTTGGCGTCAACATTTGGAGAGAGTGTTGAAGTATTGACTAACATTCAACACATTCTATTGCGGGTCATGTAATTTAGTTTCAATGTCAAAAAACTATGAGGTGTTGTGAACACTTGAATAGGTTTCCCTTGCGGCATCTCAAATTTCTTGTCATGTTTTAGAGGAGAAAGTTTTCTCTAATTTTTGTAGTCATGGAGTTGACAAGTCATGACATGACCATGTGATCTTCAATCTTCCATGCTCTATGTTTAGGATCAGTAATTTCTGGTGCATTATTTTTCTCTATGTACATGAACACAGATTGAGATTATTGAAGAAAATTGTTGCCATGTAATTTGTGATTGGTGAAGCAAGGAGAGATTTTACTTTATGCAGAACTAAATTTCTTTGGCTCGGGTTTAAAAGTAACTTCTGAAGAGGAAGAAACAACTGTCAGTCAACTTTTTTATTTTGAAATTGAAAATAATTTTGAAATTTAGTTTAATATAAGAGGTATATAGTTTGGGTTTTAAAAATAATATGTTTTAATTTAATAAAAATGAGACCAAATAGATCTCATTCGTGTAATAGTTTGCATAATCATGTCCACTACTGCGAA